GGAGGGGATGGCGGGGCGACTGTGGAAGCCATTGGTGGGCTGGTGTGTCGGCGCTGACGGGAACAACGTTCTGCCGATACAGGGCTGGCTTATAGTCGCTGAGCACTGGAAGCCAATCATTGGAGAAAACAGGGAAACGATACGAATGTAGAGAAATGGGACACAATTGGAGTAATGGTATGCTATGTGTGAATGAGTGGAGTGTTGTGCAAGTGTTGGCGAGCAACAAGTTCACTGTCTCTCAGCCTAACTCTCCCTCACATTATATAAAGTGAAGGCAAACATAAAGTCCTAATTTCGGAGTTATTTTATACGAGACCTGTTTTGCAGGTTTCTATCAAAACACAAATACAACTCGATTTCAAAAATAAGTCTTTGCTTTCCAGGAGCTTTGCATTGCGTTTCATTTGATCGCAAACTTCAGTTCATTACCACTCTATGAGGCAATCAATGTATCACTCCATCAATGCTATGAATACTATGAATGAAGGTTAGGCTTAGGCTTACAGTAATACAGTGCCAGCACTTGGCTTAGGCCTCACCACTGGACTCACGAGGACTGCACCACTCATGAGATACTTATTTATAGATCTCTTATTATAGATATCCTCATAAATATATACACTATACCGGTATATATGTGTGTATATATATATATCAAATGATACACTCTTTCTAAACATATTACTCTCAAAAAACAAACTATTTTTAGTCATAATTTCAATATTAGTTTCAATTTTGGTTTATTATATCAAATAATTTCTTATAATTAATATGTTTTGCTAACAAATGGTCTGTAGTTATGGCTAATGAGGAGATGTCTTGGCAATCAATACAATACTCAATGGTATGATAGGCTGACTCGTGAGGAATGGTATAGAAAGTGTGAAATGGATGGACACTTACCTGACTATATTTCATCGACTAATATATATGTCAATCACAGACTATTCAAACCATATGTGCATCAAATGAATGGCAGATATGATTCCTCGGGAGTCAATATGTGTTCACTTTCAATGGCAATCAAATGTCTTTACGTTCAATGGATATAAGACTAGAATTGTTGGCAAATGTGTGAATGTATGGTATAATGAGTGATATAATGAGAGAATTGGTGGCAAATAGTGTCCACTTTGGAGGCAATTAATGGCTCAAAACGTGTGTTCAATACATGTCGCGAAGGGGTAGTGAATCGCATGTATTGTATGAATGCATTGAATGCCTGACTGTGAGGGCAATGACCTCTACTAACACTTGTCTGCAAACAACAAACCATACAAACGAAGCACTCATTCACTCATACATACAGTCATACAGTCGTGCAGTCATTCCAATGCGGAAGACATCACATCACCACCACTTCCCCCATACGACCCCCTTTTGCCCCCCTTTTGCCCCCCATTACGCCCTCCCTTAAGCCCTCCCCCGACACGCCTCCGCGCATACATTACTCAACAGTATTACAGCTATACTCAAGAATTGTGTGTTTTATTAATAACACGACTATTAATACAGTTATTCACTTCATTACAGACTATGAAATACATTGAATGCATTCAATACAGACAAACCCTTTAATGCTATGCATGTATGCAAGCAAACCACAATCCCATAGAAAATGTGCTCAAATCTAATTTGCATCAATTGTTATTCAGTCGTATCTAACTGTTATTCATATGCTCATTACTACACACATACTTCCCTTACCATACACTTAACAACACATTCACACCGAGTGAAATCGACATGATGGCCAAGTCACCATCACTCACTCACTCAGTCACCACGCACTCACTGTCAATGCTCTCTAAGTAATGGGAAGTGTGTATGAAATGGAAAGTCTGTTTGAAAGGCATACGAGGCATAGAATATTGCGATTATATTCTAATAATAAGTTTGCCTTTAATTGAACTCCAATTGAAAGCACTGAACGCCTCACTGTTCAGACCCTATACCTCATACCCTATACCTCATACCCCATACCTCATACCCATACACTTTGAACACTACATTGAATTGCTACTCTCATTTCAATACAATTCTAACTTTCAAACTTACAATTGTTAATATGATTTGAAGAGTTATGCAAACAGTTGTTATGCAATGTATGAGTATTTTGGAGGCATTTGTGAATACAGGAAATTGAAGTGAATATCAGTAATGATATGATTATATAATGAAATTTAAGGCCAATCTCATTGAGTCTCATTGAGATATATATATTGGTTGTTGTTTCCAATGAGAAACTGTTCAATACTTTCATTGGTATCACTCTTGACCTCAACCACAAATCATATCATATACAGTCTCTAATATAAATTATCAATTATTTATTCACATCTTATTTATATATCTTATCCCAAACTTGTAAATCATACAAAAATATTATAAATGAATAGCAATTTCAGTGCAATTGATGGCCTAATTATTTGACTTATGGTTGATATTTTCACATATAAGCATCGCTTTGGTATTAATGGTATCATAATAACATTCTGCGAGATAAACATTGTATGCATTCATAAAAGACCTAGTTTATTACGGAATATGCTTCACAATATAGTTATACAAGTATTATACAGTATTAGCTTATATTCACTCCAAACTTCAAACTCCAATTCATATCACTTTATATTTATTACTATTTGTTAAACATATTTACAAAAAACAAATGTAATGTTTGCAGACAGTTTAATGTTGAATACATTTAAAATAAATGATTATAATATTATTTTTAAAGTAGCATTTAAAAGGTTTGAATGAAATTTGATGTCATAATTGAACGGATATATTGAGGAAACAGTAGTTATAGTGAGCCCATACAGTATATAAATTGAGATAATAATATAATATTTTGACAATAATTAACATTAGATTTGTATTGTATGAATATAGTAGCGTACTTGTGATGGTATGATTGCATTGAATTTGTGGAGTATTGCATTTCAATAGACTAGTCACTAGTACTATATTATACAATACTAGGGTATAGTGGAGTGAAATGTTTTGTTGATTACATGAAAGCTATTTAGACTCTCAGGTAGTGTTTGAGGACAAAGAC